GTATGATATTTGAAAATTACAAATTAAAAAAAATAACTCTTAAGATATATTTCAACTTAACTAAGTCTTTTTGTCTTTGAAATATAGTAAACTGTGATTTTAGTCTTTCAAGTATTACAATTGTGTAATTTTACTTCTTTAATTTTTAATTAAGCAATTTTAATCTCTTAAATATCAAATTTTTGTAATTTTAGTCTCTCAAGTAGGGATATCATCAACGCAGGATGAGTACAAATAGTAAAAGCTCGCTACCTATCTCGTTAGATAAATATCTGTCCTTACCCATCTTCATATCTGTGTTGATATTTATTAAGTAGGTACTCGTGTATTTTTTCAATATTCGCAGGTATTTTTGGGTATTTATTTTAAAAAAACATCTTAATAATTTTTTTTATTTATTCTAATAATTTATTTAAAAATAATAGTTTAAAATTTAAAACTTAAATTATTCAAATATTATACACAATTTCATTTATCAAAATTCTTCAATTTAAAAACTAATTTTAAAGTACTCCATTCCTATAAGTTTAAACAAAATTATAATTAATTATATAATTGAATATTAGCAAGTATTCACTAGTACAAATACATACTTATACCCATCTTGTTAACATGCGAGTATAGAAAATACTCGTACACACTACCTATGAGTATTCATTTATAATATTCATTTTTTACTTGTAGTGAATTTTATCTACGGATATTTGTGAGTGAATTTTAATCCCTACTCTCAAGTATCACAATTATACAAATTTTTATCTATTTAAATTACATATTTTAGTAATAATAAATTTAATTATTTAATAGATGAATGAAAATTATAATATATGAAACTTAAATGTATCAAAAGTTATATAATTATGATACTTGATAGATTAAAATTGTATAATTGTGATATTTGAAAAATTAAAACTATTTAAAATTTAAGAGATTAAAATCACACAATTATAATTTTTGATAAATTAAAATTACTCAATTAAAACCTTAAAAATCAAAAGTTATACAATTCTAATTCTATAAGACTAAAAACACAATTACAATATATATATATTTTTTTTAATTTATACTAATTTAAGTGTTGAAGTTTATGCAGGTGTCCATTCACTATATTTGTTCATGATCAGAGTATCAATCTATTTGAGAAGTTAAAAAAACAATTTTATAAATTGATAATAATATGTAAGAATTCAAATTTAATATAAAATTGATTATATTTCATAATTGTTTCAATATATCTAAAAAGTCTCACATTTTTTAGGAGTTGAAACTAAAGATAATTTATAAATACATTTTCTCCTTAACTTAGTGAGATGTCTTTGCAAAGACAAAATCGTGATGACCCAACAAGTATTAAAACGAACAATATCTTAGATGTAGTGATCCTAATAATGTGAAATAATTATTGTTTTTGTTCTTATGACATATGCATGTGCGTTTTAAAATAATTTTGGAGAAAGATAAGTGTCACTTACATAATTATTATTTTAACCCTAAATATTAATTTATGTAATTATTTTATTTTTACTTAATTTTAGTATTTAATATATTTATATTTTTAAAATATTCACTTAAATTAAAAGGGAGCTACCAAAAAATTCCGATGAAATTAACAATAGTGATTTATATATATTTTTCATATATTTTATACATTTATTTTTTATTCTCTCTTTTCTACATATTATTATTTTTTATATTTCTCACTTTTTTCAGTTTTTAGTTCTCTCTTCTCCTTACTTATTTCAAGTCCAAAAAGAGATATGAAAGTATCATATATTGTTCAAAAGAAACTATTTTCCTCTGAATTTTCAAACCGTGCCAATATAGACAAACTATCTGACCTCGAGCCACACTTCGTCACTAAGATGAAAATTAACAAGCCTTGTACGAATCACGTTAAGATGAAATTTAATAAAATAATCAAATGAAAGGAGTAAAAACAACTACGTACTGCGATATCTGCCTGAGAATCAATTTAAAATTAATTTGAAACTATATATATTTGTTAAACTTGATTTATGAAAACTAAATGATTAAATTTGAATTCAAAATTATGTTTGTTAAGTAAATTTTCCCGGTGAAACTCGTTTACAATATTGTGAATTTATGTCTGCTATTAGTTGAAGGAATTTTCTCACTTGACGATAGAACAACAAATTCTCTAATAAATAGATTTTCTATGATGTATGAATGCTTGCATATATAGTGCCTAACTTCTATATAAACCCATCAACTTCTATTAGTTCCCTTTATTGTTGCATTAGTATTTTAGTTTATAATATGTACAGTATACATGATATAATATTTATTTTTATATAATTAAAATTTATGATATATATATATATATATATATATATATTATCAATAAGTTATATTAATTTCTTGGTCAAACTTTTTCTCTCTATTTAAAAAAAATTAATCAAATTATTAGCTTTCTTCATCTTTGAACAATATCTAAAATAACACATTTTAAAATGTTTAATTTATATTGTTGCCTTCAAGTTGGTCATGAGTATATCATCAACTATTCAACCGTAAGTGTTTAGACCATTTTACTATATAAGTTTTACTCATTAGTTAAGCCCCAATATATAAATAGTTATAATTTCGTGCATATTTATTTAAATACTTACATGATTATGTACTTAAAGTAAAATGAAAAGTTAAGAAGGGACGTCCTATTTGGTTTATTCATTTCTGATTTTATTTTTAATGGTGTTATTGTCACTCATAATTTTTTGAAGCATTAAAATTGATGGTTATTCAATTGATTAAAATAAATATGATAGAGGCCCTGAATTTGAGTTTAATAAAGTATTAATGAAATTGGGATATGAGAGATTTTGAAAATAAATTTAAGTATGAGGCAAAGTTTAGATGTCTAAGCTAGAGTAAAAACAATTTGCAAAGTGTGGAGCGCTAAAAACGTTGTCATTTGACAATTGTTATCAACTGTTATCATATACATGTACAAACAAAATCAATAAATCTTAGATGCTCAATCTTATGTAAATATACATGCCTGTGATCTTTATTTTTTTTGACTGTCAAGACAAAAAATCTACAAACAACAACTAGTCTGGCCAATTTTAATTTTAATTTTTTTTAAAACTCTTATACCTTTATAATACCTATCACATTCTTTGTCTTTAAAAAAAAAAATACCTATCACACTCTCACTCTTTGCAAAAGAACCAACTTAAAACATTGAAAAAAATTTTTACAATGGATGGTTGAAGAAAAAAAAACTAAAAGAAGAAGAAAATATATATTGTTCTTAATTATTCTAATTAATTCAAAATAATATGAATATCAATTTTAAATAATCTTAATTACCTTAATGTGTATATATATATATATATATATATATGATCAAAATTAATTTAAATCAAAACATATACTTTTTAAACACCTTTATTACTACATTTATTTATTTATTTTATGAATTAAAAAAATAACTTACATATAAAAAAATAATTAATATGGTGATGCCACGTATTTATATAAATTATTATAAAGGAATAATAATAAATATAAAACATGATTGTAAGTTTAATTTTTTTTTTATTATTGTTGTTTTTATTTACAGAGAAAAATATAAAATCATGATAACAAATAAAAGATTATCATCATCATAAAATGCTTTCTAAAATATAATTTAATAAATTAATTACCATAATCTCAAAATATTCTCTCATCATTTAATAGATTAATTTACTTAAAATATATCATTGTTATAATCATTTTAATTACTTGCTTAATCCATACTTAAGTAAGGTCAATGGTTCGAATCTTGTCTTGTGTAAGCAGCCCCATTAAATCTTGGGGCCAGTTATCCCACCCTTTGAGGTGCTTCCAACGTAGTGAAGAGATTAGTCACTGTTATCGACGATGGATACTCCAGGGACGAACTAAAAAAAAATTACTATAATTAAATATAATAATATATTTTAATGGATTAATAAATAAAAAATAAAATGAAACCTTTTAAAAGAAAAATAAATTAATAGATTTAAGTGATAAAAGAATGAATATAATAATCTCATATACGTAACATAATCTTTCTATAATAAATATTCCCTCCGATTTTTATTCATAATCGTTTTGGTATTATTATTTTTTGTTCTTTTTTCATTGTCACTTTTTTAAAGTTAATGACTTATTAATTTTTTTTCATTTTTATCGTTAATAATTAATGTGTGTTTACTAAATAATATGTTTATTCATTTTTAATGTATCTATTTGTTCTCTAATCATCTAAAAAGTATAACAGGAAAATAAGTAATAAATATTTTAAAAAACTAAAATATCAATCATTTTTTTAATTCTTGTACATAAACCTTAAACGTCTAACAAAAAAACACACGAAGGAAGTAATAGATAATAAAAAAGGTAGATAGATAATAGATTTCCAATTCATTACCATCGATTAGTATCTCCGATAGGTGTATAATCGGGTCGGGTTGGATTGAATTTGAGCAGATCTGTTACCTGATCTAATTAAAATTTAACAGGTTGAGTTGAGTTGAATTTGTGCAATTTTCTTTTAAACTTAACCAACCCAATCACCAGCGGATTGAATTAGATTGAGTTAATGAGATCAATATAATTAAATTTATTTATTTATTATAAAAATTTAAATATTTTAAAATATATACAAATATGTGATACATTACTTTAAATATAATGTTATCAACTTATAAAAGAAACAGTGATACAAATCAACTCAAAAAGTCAATATTTATAATATAAAATAAAATTTAAAATAAATATATTATATTATTATAATACTATAAATTTAAAACAAGTAAGAATAAAAATAAATATTAACTTAAACAAATCATCGTTGAAACATTATTATTATTGATATATTAAATTGGATAACAAATTAAAAATACAAAATTTTGCGTTGTAACAAATTTTAAAAAATTAATAGAAACACTAAAAAAAATTCAGTCTATACTCATTGAATGAATTTAGATCGCTTCGAATATTGAAACTTTCCGTACACACTTACGCCCATTCCCGTAATATGCGATTCTATTGTTTTCTCATTTGTATTTATTTTTCCATACTTTTAATTTGATACGATATTTTCTAAGTTGGAGTGATATGCAATTAAGAATTAACGAAATGAACAGAACCTCATCAAATGTATTGTAACTACTAACTAATCTCACTTTGCCTCATATTGTTCTTCCCATTCTCTCCCAAATTAAAACCCTAATCGCAACTCAACCAGGTTCTCATTTTCTCCTTTTTCTGCTGCGATTCTCATTCTCTTCGTTTTCCAATTCTTCTAATCATTTTTCCATCTGTTTCATTAAGTGCAGGGACAAATCAAAGTCGTTGATTCTGTTACAAAACGTAGCTCCGAGGACAGAACAATAAACCAGGCTACGGATCTCTGATTCTGATTTGATTCCTTCTAACAAGGTTTGAATGATTTGTTTATATTCTATAATACGCTCATGATGGTGTCTGTTCCTTAAAATTTCAACGTGAATGCCCAAAATCGTTCTGGAATACTCCTGCATACAGCAATGGATACTCGACTTGTGTAATCTCTACATGCATCCTGTTTTGTTCAATTGTTACATGAATCATTTTTTTTTGGGCGTCATTGATTCACTTATGATGGAATATAAAGATGGGAATAGTGTTTTTTAGTTTGTTTTTAATTATTTCTGTTTGTGAACTATGTGGTTTGTGTAAATAAGAGGGCTCTGTTTTAGATTTTCTTATGTGCTTTTTATTCCCCTTTCATGTTTGGATTAACTATATTGATTGAATGTCTTGGGAAAAAATGTTAATTAGGTTAGGATATGACTCCCGGTTTACAGTGCTTTCTCCTTGGATTTATCTAGTTGAATGGATTCTGCGGTATTGTTGTATATGACATGATTTGGGTGTGCTTTAACAAGATTCTTGGCGTTCTGTGAGATTGTTGTTTTCCCTTTTGATGCTTGTTTGTTTTGATATTTTTATTGGCAGAATTTATGTGCTTTTGCTGTCCCAAGGTGTGAAGATGATTATTATTTCAGGAATTGGGAATTTTGATCTTTTATCCATCAACTATGTTGTTTCTCAAACAAAGTAGAAAGCTACTTCCATGAGTTTATCAGGATTCAGTTTTTGAGAGCTAATTTGGTTTCATTGCTACATATGATAATTTTTGGCTCAATAATAATTTATTTACTTGGTGAATATGTTTGTTTTAGTTTTTTGCAGAAGATTTTACTTGCATTTGGCCTAAAATGTGAATCTGGACTGGACTATCCTGTGATATGTAGACTGAACTTTTATTCTTTTTGGGTCATGTCTTAGGGGATTTGGGAGTTCTTGTCTTTTGGGGACTGAGTTCAAGCTATGAATATGTTTTGTTTTGGGTATCTTAATAGCTTATATAGGCCTGTTATATGGTAAGTTGGTAACAACCACCACCGTGTAGTTCTTTACTTGAAACTTAGGAGCGCTAGCTAGATATTGGTACTGCAAGTAAATGATGTTTCTTCTGTATAAATGTTAAAATTAAACCCTTGGTATTTGCAACTCTTGAAAATATTTTTCTTCTTCTTTTGGGGTCCCTTGTATGTCTGAGCATCAACTTCCTTGCAATGATATTTTTGGGGGTAACCCATAGTTGTATTCTTGTGTTTGAATAAGATGCCTTCTTTTTAATTGAACTTGATTGATGAACCATCTCCTTGGATACGAGGTAGTCACTCTCTCCGAGTCATAGGTGATCATTCTTTAATTCATGAATAATTATCTTATTAGATAAGGAGTTGAATGGAATCTGTCCTGTGGTTAGATGCCTTTCCGTATCCAAAAAGTATTTATGGATAAAAGTTGGATGTGCGTACAGAGTTCCCTTGGAATTTGGATGGATATAAAGTTGCTCCTTTACTTTTTTTTTTTTTGGCATACTCCCTACAGTTATCGTATCGAGTTTCTAGTTGGTGTATCTGAATAATAATGCTTTATGTTCCTATTTTGCTTTCATGTAGTAGTAGATGTTTGTGCTTGTTCAGTTATGATTGTTGCTTAATATCTTTCTTTCATGTTTTTAGGTACTTATTGTACTCTGTTTTGCATGTTATTAGACTATTAGATTCCTATTTACATTCAGAAACTGCTTTTGCATCTTCAGCCCTTTCCTTGCATCCCCTCAAGATTTTTTCTTTTTATAAAAAACATCGTTTAGAGTATCTATAAATGCTGTTGGAATATAATAATTAGGCTTTTATGATAATACAAAACACGACATACTTGAGCATCATATAAGTTTGTCAAACCAAATATTTGTTATTATTCATTAACATTGATTCATATTTTTTAGTTGAAATCGGATTGAAGGGAAGTAAAACAGGAACAGAGCAACCTGAAGAATTACACAATCAAGATCCAATAAACCGGCTATATTTGTCTCTCCAATATCTTGAATTGTAGAACAGCCATGGACAGACGCACAAACGCTACCAGGCCAACAGCGTTGTCTTCTCCTTCTATCACTGGTACCACCACAATAACTATAGAGAACACTGAGCCATCATCCTCTTCATCTCAGCAAGAACAACAGCAACCGGAAGTCCTTTTCCTCCCCCTCAATCGCAAGAAGAAGAAGGTCAGTTGGAAAGAGGGCACTGTAGACAATGAGTTTATGCAGAAGAAGAGTTCCAAAAAGTGTTGTATTTTCCATAAACAGAAGCCCTTTGATGAAGATGATAGCGATGAAGATGAACACCCTCACGATTGCTGTAATAATCATAATGAAGCTGGTCCAAGCAGTTAGGAATCTGATCAGAGCGGTGGTGATTGATGAACCTACGAAGGCATATATTTTGTAGAGTAAATGATTCTAGAATTCATTGAACTTAAGTTTGTAAGACAAATTAATTATTTTATTTTGGTTGCAAGTACAAAATCACGACACTGGAACTGGAGGAATGTTCGGTTTAAATTTGAATTCCAATAATTTGCGGTGCTAGTTTACTATGGAAAATGGTTTGACTAACTTTTGTCATGAACTTAGTGGTTAAAGGATAAAAAATTATGTTCGGTAAGGGGGAAACAGTTAGTTAAGTTTCTTTTTTGTTCTTATTGTCTAGAATCTCAAATTGAATGACTTTTTTGGTATTTGATACTCTTAATAAAATTGACTCTTAATAAATATTATTATTTTAAAGTAGTTTTTTTAATCAATGAAAAAATCTTAAATGTTAATTACTTAGCCTCAATTAACTTAAGAGGGAGGATGAATTAAGTTTTCCAAATTTTCTTCTTATAAAATCTTTTTCTAAATTACTTTCTTACAACTTCAATTCCTTAGATAAATTTATATATAAAGATTGAATGATGTATATACTACTTCAACACAATTAAATATCAAGTATTAAAAGTGTAGCGAAAGAAAAATTGCAAACTCAATTTTATACTGGTTCGGTCAATCTTGTCTACGTCTAGTCCTCAAGTCTCCCACTTGAGATTTTTACTATTCTTGTAAACCTTACAAGACTTGAATCCTCCAACACCTCTGAACTCTCTTTCCTTGTGTGGAGATTCAAAAATCAACAAGGAGAAAAACTTTTTCTCCTTCACAGATCCAATGATCAATTGTGTATTACAAAATGACTCTCTTTGAAGAGTAGATATTACACTTTCTAAGAACTTGATGAACTCTTTAGAGATTTTTGCAAATGATTTTGGCCAAGTAATTTTTTGTAAATAGATTTTCACATTAGAGTTTGTTTTCCTTATTCATTGAGTTATAAGTGCTTGCATTTAATATTGTAATGACTTAAAACAAAGAGTTTTTTTGTAATAAAATTTGAATTAAGAGTATTTAATAGGATAAAATTTACTTGTAGTATTATATTTTCATTTTTAATATCTTAAAAGTGATAAAATAAGATAAAAATGAAATATTCAAGAGGTCTAACTTACTTTATTGAGTAAGGTGTATGAATGTTATAAACTTTTTTAACACGTATTCAATTCGCATAAATAAAAAATAATAAAAAAAAAAGATGAAAATAAAATAAGTAAAAAAGTAATTTAATTTAAATATTATTAATCATTAATTGTTATGATCATCTTAATGATATATTATGATCAATATTACAATTTTAACGATTAATGAATGAATATTTAAGAAGTTAAAATTGTAAAAAAATAATAGATTAAAATTATAAAATAAAAAACTAGAAGACTAAACAATGAACTAAATACTTTTGAAAAATGTTAGCAATTCATTTTCAGTCACCTCTTTTAAAAAACACTTCTTTTCATTGATTAAAAATTATTTAAAAAAATACATAATTTTATAGAGATATAAAAATGCAATTTAGTAAAAAGAATTAAAAAAAGGAAAAGGTATATCTATATTAATATATGTGACACCCTTACTACCCCAACACATATATAAATATTAATCATATAAATAAACTAAAGAATAAAAATTTTAACGTTGGTAAAAGGGTTCACATAAAACCTTCATATTCATTTATCAATAACCAACATAATAATTGAAAATAAAACTTGAAAATTTACAAATTTTTTTCAAAATCATATTTACAATTCCAAATCCATATAAAATCTATGTCCTAAAAATCCTCTGCCCCGATGTCACAATATCAGAGCATACCCACAATTCAACTGTTGGCATTCTGCTCGTAGCCGGATCTTCCTCACCTAAAACATCCACAATTTATACGGTGAGAAAAGAAAATATTTATATGCAAAGTACATACAACCACATCATAATGAAATCTCATCATAATTCATATATATAAGCATGTATCATAATTTATCAATCAATCACCATCCACACAATTTTACGATTAACAATATCATTTCCACATCCATAATTCAAGTCAATCTTACAATTAACATTATGCCAAGACCTCGCCACATCTGACACAAGTGATACGGGTTAATTGCCTCACTCAACCCACACCATACTAGGGTTCGTATCATCCCTGATCATCCAGGAGTACGCTCGTCCCTGAAGCATCACCTACCCAGGGTTCGTATCATCCCTGATCATTCAGGAGTACGCTCGTCCCTGAAGCATGAGTGTGAGGAACCACAATCACATTACAATCCATACAGTCTCTTGCAATTAACCCTATGCCAGGGCTGCCATAATCGACATAAGTGGTGTGTGTTAACTGTCTTACTCATCCCACACCATGCTAGGGTCACGCCCTCCCTGTAGCACCACTTACCCAGGGGTCGTGCCATCCCTAGTCATTAGTGTGAGGAAACACATCGCAATCACATTCTTAATCATGTCCATACAACATCTCATCTCATATCACGATTTCATATCACATACACAATTCCATATCACATACTCAACAGATAAGTCTAACAAAATAAGGGTTTACACATCCCTCAAGCAATTCACATCTAGATCATCAATTCTTATTAAATAATATAACAATAACATTCATAAATTAATATAATAAACAATAGAATTATCAATTTAATATAATTTTAACATAAATAGTAAAATCCCCAATTGTTCCAAAACCTAGCTCACAGGCACTTTTCTACAATTTCGTTCTCTCTCTCAGATCATCATTCTTACAAATTATTAGCATATTTATAATCCTCAACATATACAAAATCTAATGGGATCATCAATTCCTCAAACAGAAATCATCCAATTTTTCACAACCTAACTTACAAACACTTTTCTATAATTTCGTTCTTTCTTCTAGAGCATCTTTTTTACAAATAAATCATATATTCGTAGTCTTAAAGATACAGAATCACATAAGACAATTAATTCTCCAAACAGAAATAATTATAAATTACTCATAACCCTAAGGACTCTTCCTCTAGCCAATTCCCTCATGTAACTCTACATATAAATAATCCCTTTTTCCCCCGTATCTGGATAAATAGGAACTAGGGCAGAACCTCCTCCTCTTTTTCCTTTAACAGGGACCGGAACTAAAACTAGGGTAGAACCTCCTCCTCTAGATTCCTCTTGGTCTTCAGAAAGAAGGAGAGGGAAAGAAGAGAGAACAGAAGAGAAGAAAGAATGAGAATGAGAGGTGTGTGAAAAATGAGAAGTGAAGGCCCCTATTTATAGGAATTCTGGCTCACCTACCACTGCGACCCGTTCTAAAAGCAGAACGGCCCGTTCTGGGCCCTTCAAACCTACGTAAATTTCTCAACTGAAACGGCCCATTCTAAAACCAGAACGTCTCGTTCTCAATCCCAGCAGAACGGCCTGTTCCAGTTTCAGAACGTCCCGTTCTCCAAACCAGAACGGCCCGTTCTCAACTACGTTTTTAGGCAAATTCTTTATTCCAGAACGTCCCGTTTCACTTTTGAAACGGCCCGTTCCGGGCAACGAATTGGGCCCAAGGCCTAGTGAAAATTGGGCTGTTACAATATATAAAGGGATACCCTTTTGAGTAACCACCTTGGTCTCTATTTTTTTGGACCATTATACCTTTTTTATTTTAAAAAATTAAAAAATATTTTTTAATCAAATTTAAAAATTTGAAACTAATGAATATATACTAATATATACTAATATATCAATAATTATTTTTGGTTTTTACTTTTATATGAACCATTTTATTATTTGTTTATTTTTTAACAACTACCTTTTTTATGAGTAATTTCTCTTTTTTTTTCTTTTTTATTTATTTTTTTAATACAATGCAGGCACGAAATGCCTTTTTTCTACTAGTTTATTATTAAGAGAAGGCAAAAACCCTATTTTGGTTCCTTATATTAATTGTTTGTTTCAATTTAGTCCCACTTTTATTTTTTGTTTCAATTTGGTCCCAAATTAATTAATTGGTTTCAATTTAGTCCCAGATTAATTAATTGGTTTCAATGTGGGACTTCCGTCCGAATTATTTAAACGAGGTTAACTTTTGACCACGTGGATGCCACGTAGATGCATACGTGGATGCCACGTGGCCGACAATTTTTTTGAAAACACATGGACCCAGAACGGCCCGTTCTGAAACCAGAACGGGCCGTTTCGGTTTCATCCTTTTTTTATGTATAAAATATTAATAATTTTATAAAAATATATATTATTAATTATATTTTAATTATGTTGTTATATCTAATATAATAAATATATTAATATTTTTTTTATATTTTATTTTATTATATTTATCTTATTAATTTTTATCATTTTATTCCTTTAATCTTAAATAAGTTGCAAAAAATTATAAAGTGATATTCCTTTTATCTTATTAATTATTATATTTTTTAATAAAATTAATTAAGAATATTGGTTTAATTGCATTTTTTATCCCTCAAGTATTACAATTGTGCAGTTTTGTGATCTCCAAGATTTTAATTGCATAATTTTAGTCCTTAAAGAATTGCAATTGCGCGATTTTGGTCCTTCAATTTTTAATTGAACAATTTTAGTCCCTCAAATATCATAATAGTATGATTTTTGTTTCTCCCATTAAAAATTAATAATTTTAATATATATATATATATATAATGTTTTAAAATTAAATAATTATTTATCTATTCAAATTAACGTATATTATAATTTTCGATATTATATCAATAATATTATTAATATATTTATAGATAAACTAATAATTTGATAAATATAACTTGTTATATATTAATATACTTTTACAAAAATATAAGTATATTAATTAGAAATATATATCTGATCTTATATATTTATATTTTTGTAAAAGTATATTAATATATATTAAGTTATATTTACCAAATTATTAGTTTATTTATAAATATAGTAAAAATATTATTGATATTAGTTTATCACTAATATTAAAATACTAATAATATATAAATTTTATTTATTTAATAATAATAAATATACGTTATATATACGTTAATTTAAATAAGCAAACAATTATATAATTTTAAAACATTATATATATATTAAAATTTTAAAATTATTAAATTTTTAATGAGAAAGATTAAAATTGCACAATTATGATATTTGAAATATTAAAATTGTTCAATTAAAAATTGTGAGACTAAAATTACATAACTGTAATCTTTTAAAGATTGAAATTACTTAATTAAAACCTTAGGATCAAAATTGCATAATTATAATACTTGAGCGATCAAAAACACAATTGAGTCAAGAATATTATATTCTCAGTTTTGGTACGGGCCTTCTGAATCCAGAACGGTCCGTTCTGAAACCAGAACGGCCCGTTCTGGTTTCAGAACGTCCAGTTCTGCTGCACTAGTGGTGTGTTAATTTTTGCATCTGGAACGGCCTGTTTCAGTTGTAAAATTAACACACCAAAAGTGCAACCAGAACGTCCCGTTCCGGTTTCAGAACGGGTCATTCTGGGTCCAGGTGTTTTCAATAAACTTGTCATCCAAGTGGCATCCACGTCGCATCTACGTATGCATTTACGTGACATCCAAAAGTTAACTCCGTTTAAATAATTTGGACGGAAATCCTACATTGAAACCAATTAATTAATTTGAGACTAAATTAAAACCAATTAATTAATTTAGAACCAAATTAAAACAAAAAATAAAAATAAAACTAAATTAAAACAAACAATTAATATAAGAATCGAGTGTTAACAGAAGTACAATGATCGTTTTTGTTAAAAATAAGGAGCGAAAGCGAAAGGTTGAAGCATGAAAAGCAAAGAAGAGAGGAAAAAAAGGAGATAGGGCTATATAAGAAGATTGGTAGTTGGCGCAGAAAGTTATTGAGAAAATGGAATTGGAAGCAGTGAAGAGGTACTTAGAGAAAGGTGGAGTAACAGCATCGCTCATCGATGACTTGCCACCCAGGTTTCTCGAACCCTTAGTTATGAACTCCCTTCAAGTCGATCTCATCGAACCCGGTCGCATCGTTTGCTCTATGAAGATTCCTCAACGTTTACTCGTACGCACACTCACTGCTATTTCTTTTTCTTTTTCTTTTTTTAATTTTCTCTTTCCTTTTCATTTTCTGTTTTTATAGAATGCCGGGAATTCGTTACACGGCGGCGCCACCGCTGCGCTGGTGGATGTGGTGGGCTCGGCTGCGATTCCCACCGTTGGGTATTCTGCTCCCAACACGGGGGTCTCCGTCGAGATCAATGTTTCCTACTTGGATGCTGCCTATGCCGATGTATTTCACTTTCTAACCCCCTTTTTTTTTTTTCCTTCTTCAGTGTTTGTGATTTGTGATGCGAATGATTTGTTTTTTTGGCTTTATAGGATGATCTGTTTACTTGATGGGTGAATCATGATTATGGGGTTGGGTTTCTCTATTGCTCTTCACGAGCTGTATTGAATAATTGGGTATATTGTAGAGAAAAAATTGGGAGTTCCATGTGAAGAAGACTTTAGTTTAGTAATAAGGGTAGGGGAAAAGGAACTTGATTTTTAATTTTTCAGATTTTGATGCTAAAATATAGAGTTTTAGACCAAATTTGCTGTTACTCAAGTTTTGGATTTATTAGCCACCTTTCTTTAATTATGTATATGTATGTTCGGTATTAATGACGATCTGATAGTGATATCTAACTAGTAATTTGAGGAGTGGAATGTAGGAAGTTCTTTTAGTGATTTCATAGATTGGATTTTGTGTTTCATGCAAGATATCACTGCAATAATATTTCTCTATTGTTATGTTAGGAGGAGATTGAGATTGAGGCGAGGGCTCTGCGTGTAGAGAAGTCTATTGCTGTTATAAGCGTGGAGTTCAGAAAGAAAAAAAGTGGCAAAGTTTTTGCACTAGGGCGTCATACCAAATTTCTCCCCCCTTCCAGTAAATTGTGAAAAGGCAAAATATGCACTGAAATAAAACGGTTCAATGTTGGCTGTAGCCTTTGTATCCGGCAAATAGACCCAAACAAGTATCACTACTGATTAAGTTTCCAATATGTCCCGCAGATACTACATGTGGGATGTTACCTTGAATACTCTGTACAAGTTCTTATTGTTGTATACGGGATGCTCCTCATTGTTGAATGACAAGGCCATGTGTTCTTCCAGGTTGTTATCTGCCTTTTCAATGCTATAATTATAGGTATATTTGGCATATAGAAAATATTGCTTGTTTAAACGGTCATCTAATGATGGATTATTAGTGTTGTTATATTGATTTTTGGTGGTTTGAACTCGATACTTTGATTAAAAGATCAGAGGCTAGCATCACTTATACTAAGAGTCTGTTTCGATAAAAATTATGTGTTTTTGAAAGTTTCTTTATTAAAAATAAAGAGTAGTTTTCAGTAAAAAAAAAACTCTCAAAAATACTTTTAAATTTGCATCTAAATATGCTCCAAGAACATGAATTGAGAGGACTCTTTTTTGTTTGGTCTTATCAACGCTTCTATTTTAGCTCAATTCTCTCTGAAGTAACAGAGGAATATCTTACATCATATACTTATAGTTATAATCAATAGCTGATCGAAGCCTAAACTTTACAATTGTGGTTAAACTTGATAATAATTTAACTAATAATAAACTTGTTTAAGTGGGTTTCATTTTTCTTAACAAAATCTTCCAAGTACGTATTGCTGGGGAATCAAACTCTGTTTAATCTTCCTCATACTCACAAGTCACAAGTAATTGTACTCTGTAGTTAAAGAACTTTTTACTATCTATCATTGTGTTTAGATCTTGTTCGTCAATAAAGAATTCAATTGTTTACAATAAGTAACTTAACTACCTATCAAGTGTTTAGATCTTGTTGGTCAATAAAGAATTTAATTGTTTACAATAAGTAACTTAACTACCTATCAAGTGTTTAGATCTTGTTGGTCAATAAAAAAATTCAATTGCTCACATTAAATAACTTAACTAGAACGGTCAAAGTGGGCTATGGTAGGTGAGCCAACCCGACCCACCACGAGTTCGAGTCAGGTTGGGTTGAAAAAAAAAATTAAAAATTTCAGTACGAGCCAATTTTGAACCCAAATCACTAACAACTCGACTCACTCGAGTTGAATCCGTGGTGAGCTAGGTTGGCTCACCAACCGTGATTAAAAAAAATGCAACAATTATTGAGCCACGGTGAGCCCAACATAAGATAGAGTCTGTTTTTCATCCTTTACAGTTTTCAATTTTCACTTTTAGGTTTTAATCCAATGTTTAAATAGGTTACAGATGAAATAGGGTGTCAACTTTCAACTTCTGAATTTCATAACCCCTCATGCCTCACCGCAACGTAGCCAACCCCTCACCCACCTCAGCGCAGCTAGCCCTTCACCCACTAGCCAGAGCCACCCTCATGCTCACGGCCTCACCAACCACCACCAGCCACCCTCTCACGCTCACTCACCGCACCACGCCATTGCTCACGTGGTCACGCCTTATTGAAGTTAGATGAAAACACATAGAATGAGGGGTTGAATATGTGTGTGAACAAACGAATTTTAAAAATATTTTCGCAAAGAGACTCTTTTTCATCCAATAAAAATACTATTTTGAATGCTTAATAGAAATTGTGCAGGATTGGTTCAACAAAAGATTTTTACGTCTGAGAGTTTATCGTCTGCACAAGAAAAATGTTTCTTAAACGAAAACTGATTCATAAGATAATAAATTAAACAACTGTATTTTTCGTCTGAAGATAGTTGTAGTGAACAATAAGCATGGGACGAAATTTTTAGTATGATATATTGACAAAACGAAATTGCGTCTGAAACATAGAAAAATAGTGCAAAGATTTTTATACTGGTTCGCTCAAACTGAGCTATGTCCAGTCTTCTTCAATTGAAGGGTTTCACTAGATTTTCAATTAAGTACAAGTATTATCACCACTTCTAGTTTGTCGAGTATTATCGACCACTTCTAGCCCGCCAACTTCACTCGTCAGCGTTAATATTCTTTATTCAGCCTCTTCAGGCTCGCAGTGAGTATTCTCGACCACTTCTGGTCCCCGAGTATTATCAACCACTCCTAGTTGGCTAACTTCACTCATTAACACTAGTATTCTTTGTTCAGTCTCTTCAAGCTCTCAGTGAGTATTCTCGACCACTCCTGGTCCCGAGTATTCTCAACCACTCCTAGTTGGCTAACTTCACTCATTAGCTATAGTATTCTCAGTGAGTATTCTCAACCACTCCTGGTCCCGAGTATTATCAACCACTCCTGGTCCCGAGTATTATCAACCACTCCTGGTCCCGAGTATTATCAACCACTCCTGGTTGGCTAACTTCACTCATTAGCTCTAATATTCTTTGTTTATCTTCTTCAAGCTCGCAGTGAGTATTCTTTGACAAGCCTCTCCAGGCTTACACAAGTATTCTTTTCCTAGCCTCTTCAGGCTTTACAAATGATAGATAGTTTGTTTTTGAGTGTGTGGTTTACTCTCACAGAGAGGATACAAATATTTGCTACACTCACTAAGGTGCATGTTCCTAAGTTACACTTAGAACTCCTTAGTCTACAAAGATAAATACATTATGGTACATTTGACTCTATAAGCTCTGTCTCTGATTCCATTGTTTCATGGGCTTGATATCACTCTTCGTCAACCTTTCCAGGTTTGAATTCATGACATATATATAGTCTTGTAAAATTTGCCCATTGCAAATGTCCGTTGAAGCAGGATGTAGTCGTTCATGACTAGTTCGATCTTTCATTTAATGCACAAGATCTTGCATTAAATGTTGCTTCCTGTTTATAAGGATTGCGTGAAGTCTTCTTCGTTTTGTTAGTAGCAGTGTCTGACTTTAGCTGAGACCTAGGAACTTTTTGTCCTTTTCCGATCGCGTAGCTGTAGAGGCATTGTCTTTATCTGAAAAAGTGATGTACTTTTTCTGACACATGCATGCTTTTACTTTTGCGCTTGTACTTCTTCTTTTTCTTTTATTCCTTTCATCGCGCGATCATGTTGAGAGCTTTTGTATGATTGTAGACGATGCTTGAATTGTCCCTTGAGACTTAATTCTTCAAATGCTTGCTTGGCAGTCTTCGTTTGCGTCTGATAGTCCATGTGCATCTCAAGTCTTGATCTTCGTCTGAGCATTTGTCATTAATGTTTTAACTTTCTTTGGACTGGTCAACATTGTAGATGGACAAACTTTGTTTCCGTCTAGAATACTTTTCAGTTTATGTTGTCCTTCGTCTGATATTTAATTGACTTTCTTATGATCTTTGACCAACCTTTATTTGAGTTCTTATGTTGCGCTCTAGGTTGTCCTTGACACACCTTCGTCTGATATTTGATTTATCATCGTCTGGCGCTCATGTCTTATTCTATCGATCATTTGACTTGCTTGTCTGATCCTCTTGATGTGCTTTGCTTTGACTAATCTTCGTCTTGTACTTAAAGAAGTTCTGTCTTTGGCCTATATCGTCTGAAGCTTGATCATTTTCATTCTTGTGCTAGGCTTGGCTTCGTTTGACCTTTCCATCTGATGCTTGAAACTTTTACCCTTTATCTTGGTTCTGGTGTAGGAAGTGGCACATGTTTTGTTCTTCATCTTGCCTGTATTTATGTTTTTCTGAAGCACTAATATACTTGTTAGAAATAACAACATGTATTATATTTGTCTCATTCAAAACCTTGCTGGGAATTGCTTCATTTGACTTAACACTCATGCTCACACCTAAGGCACGGCGAGACATGCACTATCTTAGGCCACCGCACCATAGCTCATGTTGCAAACCACCTCGCGCCATGCACCACTGTGTGCGTCACCCCTTGGGCCACCTCGCACTGCGTGCATCGTTTGGGGGCCACCCACCACTGTTGTCCTTGCACCATCGCCTGCGCCACGCACCACCCTAGGGTACCTTGTAGTCTCGCACCACCCTAGGTGAGCCAACTCGTTTAACCCACCAACCCGTGATGGGTCGGGCCAGGTTCGATTTTGTTTAGCTCACTAATAAATGGGTTGAGTTGGGCCACCAAATGGAAATCCATGGTGGGTTAGGTCGAGTGATTCGTTTTGACAGCTCTAAACTTAACTATCTATAAGTGTTGGACCTTGTTGGTCAATAAAGAATTCAATTGTTCACATTAATGATATTTATTATATAGATATTATATTGCACTTAATGATATTAATGTAGTGCTTTTAAAAATATACAAATAAATAAATTTATTTAAATAATATTAAAAGTATTGTATTTATTAAATTTAATAATTAAAATTAAAATATTATAAAATTTGATACCTATTGTTGCAACTTTACTTACTATTTATTAATTTTCCTCTTTGTTAAATTTTTAATGTAATTTACCTAACAATTAAATAAAATTTATATAATTGAATTTTTCATTAATTACTTTTAGTTTCTACACTCAATTCAATTGCTTAATTTTGCACACTTACACATTTTGCTTAATTGTAATTTACCAAAAACAATTGCTTAATTGTACATTTATACATATTAATTATATACTTCAATGTGTATTATATAAAAAAAATTATTTTAATAAAAACAAAATTCCGATTGATTGCATAAGTATACAAACCAGTAATTAACATAATTTACTTCTCAAGTCTTATTTTATAAGCCAAATTACAATTTTAATCCACTATAATATCTGATCCTTAATTTTTAAATCCATAATTGTAGTTCACTAACATTATGAAATCTACAATTTTAATCTAATTATTAAATACATATCCATTAACAATTAAAATTATAATGTTAATTATAACATGATTTTAAGTAAATAAAACAATGGTGTAAAAAAAAAGTAAATATAACATGATAATTAATACTTAATAATATTCAAGTTAAATTATCCTTTTAATATGTATTTTTACTCATAAAAGTGAGAAAAATAGATAAAAATGAGTTGGAGATAAAAAAATAATAATAAATAAATAAAACACAATTTCGCCTGTGTGAAAAAGTCAAAAAATAAATTAAATAAAAAGTTGTCCGATTCTTTTGCTTTTATAAACTATACATATGTTTGAAGCTGGCAATTCATGTTGTGGTTCGCTGCATGCAATGCATCACCAGATACTTAAGGTCATTTTTGAACGATGGGTCTATTCAAAATCCAAGTTTTTTGGTCAGGCTACTCATGATG